CCTCCAGGACAGCACTCCCTCTCCTGGGAGACACTGGTCCCACTGCAGCATTTGGCGTGGTGACCTGCACCGTGCGGGCATTCACTAACTACTGAGTGGAGGAATGGATGGATGAGTTTGGGGAGGCCTCAGGGAATTTGGGAAATTACACATAAAATTGGCTGATTCCATACTCCTGTTTCCCCTCACTTGAGAGAGAAACCATGGCTGTGACCTGATTCGTAGAAGACCTATGACCCAAAAGGCCACCATTCTAGAAGCAGCCAGACCGACACAGGACTTTAGAGACCACCTGGCCCCATTCCCGTCCCTTATAGACAGGGAAACCAAGGCACAGAGATAGGTGCGGAGGGTTAAGATGAGGTGGGCTGACAGCCAGCTAACTCTACAGTGTCTGAGTATAAGCAAGGGCTGACACCTGCCGATCTCCCAATGGAACTGGACCTACAGTTGAATTTTGTTCAACTTGCAAGTTCCACCCCCCAACTCCCTCCCAACACTTAAAAACCAGGCAGGTTTCTGGTACGGATTTTCATGTAGAAGACTGTACTTCCAGTATTTCTTGGAGAAATGGAAAGATCTGACAACCGTGAGTTTGTATTTCCACGTGGCAACAAGACTGGAGACGAGTGTCCCCTTTAGATGGGACATCAACGCTCCAGTTACCCCGGTCCCAATGCATCCCAATTTGTGACCTGATTTAGGTACCACCCTGTTGGACATCCCTTGATGGCACCCACACCCACACCCACACCCACACCCACACAGGTAGCCGGTTTTAATAAATGAGATCATGCTGCTTATGTTTTGTCACCTGCTTCCTCCCCTCCACTGATATTAGGTTGCTGAGATCTTCCCACATCAACAAGGAAAGGTGGTCATCATCATCATCATCATCATCATCATCATCATCATCACCATCCTTTTTCATGGCTGCATAGTATTCCATTGTTGGTCACCTCCTTAAGGACGTTTGCCTGTTTCCCATTTTCTGATAGTATAAACGAGGTGTAGTGAACATGCTTGATTAGACAACTTTGAAAAAAAAAGTGAGGTTCCTAGAAGTGAAATTATTGGGTCAAAGAATGTGCCTGTTATGTGATACGTACGGCAAGATTACTTCAGGGAAGGGTCTGCCCATTGAATCTGGTGCCCATTCTGTGCTGAGCTGCTGCCTCCCCTCTCTCAGTGCTTACCCTTCCAGAGTCTAGTGTGTTTGGCATTGAAGGCCCATCTGCCATAACCTCATAGTGGGCGGAAACTATGAGTTCTCTGGTTTCTCTCCATAGACTTTACGTAATCAATAACTATTCATGATAGCATTGATAACTAGTCACTGAAAGTATTGCTAACTATTCATGATAGTATTGATAGCTACTCATTGATAGCATTGATAATTAATGAGATGGCAGGGGGCTGGGCAGAGGGGAGCAAATACTTCCTCCAGGAACTGCCAAACGGCCCCCTCCTCTCTTACACACCCAAACCAGGCTTCTGCTCCTCCCGCCCCCTCGCCACAGTCTTCGGAGGCCCAGCTTCCTAACGGACAACATGAGCTACACAATGGAGATTGAAGCAATGACCCAGACCAGAGCCATCTTCTTCCCTCTAGGAAGGTTCTACATGGAGAGCTCTGTCCACAGGAGTCTTAGGCACCAGGACCGACCCCTGGCACCATCAGAATTCTATGGGCAAAATCAACCCACCGAAACCAAAGATGGGAGAGGGGGAAGGTGCCACCATTATTCATGTGCTCACTTACTCTCATTCAACAGGTTGAATTGAGCACCTACTATGTGCGGGCATTATGCTGGGCTCTGGGGATCTAATGACGGGGTGGGGAGGGACATGGTGTCTGTAAATGCCCAGAAAATATTCTGGGAAGATTAGAATGAAGGGGGCTTTCCTTTTCTTTCTATCTCCTCTATTGTTTGAATGTGTAAATTCTCCCTTGTGCAAAAAAAGAGTATTTTTTTTTTAATTAAAAATTGCGGCCTCTTAGGGGGGAATGAAGAGTCCTAACTCTCCTCGGGTACAGGAAAAAGGGAGTGAGCCTCCTGCTTCATCTAATGTGGCCGTGGGGGTCACAGTCGCTGCTTTCAGCGCCCAAATGCAGCCCAGGAGGCAGGACCTTGTGGCTCCCCCCCTCCTACCCCCTCCATACTGTGGTGAACAGTGGAAATGGGACACTTTTTAAAGGGGTTTCATAAATGTCCTCAGTCATGAGCTTTGGTTGTGAGTCAGCATTGGAGAAAGTTCTTTATGAGCCAAGTTTAAAGGAAAAACATCCCAGGAGCAGGGCAGTGGTTCATAGGGGGCAGCGGACTTAATGTTTTGAAAATAGTTTCAAATTGTACAATTATTATTTGTTCCTTGCAACAAACAAACAAAAACAACAGAAAACCCAAAACAAACAATACAGAAATACAGAGAGTAATACTCCCTTTACGCCCCTGGGGTCACTTACAGTCCAGATTATATAATAACTAACAATAACAACAAAGGCAGGCCTACTATGTGCACAATTACATATATGTGTATGTATGTGTGTGTGTGTGTGTGTGTGTGTGTGTGTGTGTGTGTGTATGTCAGAGAGGAAGGGAGAGGGAGAGAAAGACAGAAGCATCAATGATGAGAGGGAATCATTGATTGGCTGCCTCCTGCATGCCCCACACAGAGGATCGAGCCCACAACCCAGGCATGTGCCCCAACCTTACATCAAACCATGACCTCCTGGTTCATAGGTCGATGGTCAACCACTGAGCCATGCAGGCCGGGCTAGCCTCATATGTGCTAATACTTTCAGTCCTCACATCAACACACTGAGATTTGCTATTATTCCCTCCACTTTTCCATAAAAGAAAACGGAGGCCCAGAGAGGTTAAATAACTGGCCAAAGTCACACAGCTTTTATGCGTCTGAATCAAGACTCCAACTCAGGCATAAGGCTCTAGTCTGTGCTCTTAACCATTACAGTGTTCTGTGTCTCTGCCACACCTTCTTATGTGGGGACACACACACACACACACACACACACACACACACACACTCACACACATTCATTAATGGAAACCCAATCTGGGATTGTGCTTTTTGGCCATTTGCTCTTTTCAATGAAGAATCATAACCGTGTTTTTGTCTTGGCATATTTGTTCATTTACTTTTAAAATTTTTATTTATTGATTTTTAGAGAGAGAAGAAGGAAGGGAGGGGGACCCGTTGAGTTGTTATTTCACTTGTTTATGCATCCGTTGGTTGATTCCTGTATGTGCTCTGACTGGGGACTGAACCCACAACCTTGGTGTATCAGGACCACGCTCTAACCCACTGAGCTACCGAGCCAGGGTGTCTCAGCATATTTAGATCTACCTCTTTCTGATATGCGTGTAGCTTAAATTTGTTAATCCAGCTTCCTCCTGATGGACACGTGGGTTGTATCCACACTATCTCTATTACAAATAAAGTTGGAGAGAACATCCACTTATGTAACTACCTCTGTGGGCTAGATCCCTAGCCTAGGGTGTCCAATGGAAGATCCTCAAAAATGTAGGCACAAGCCCACTCCTGTTTGTGGGACGTGGTGGAATGTGCCCACTTGGCTGTGGAGTGGGGAGCTTTCGATGGTCACGTTTCACTGTGGACACCAACCTGTAACCAACACGTGCGTGGGCGTGGGGATTCTTCCAGACAGCAGGCCTGGGAACCTCAGAGTCATGGCTCAACGATGTACAGGGAGGAAAAGTGAAAATCAGTTGCTGGTCCTTCCTAGTTTTGCAAGAAAATGCCATTCTTTTGGTGGATGAAGCTGATCACAGCTTTAAAAATGCCATTTTTCAACACACACACACACACACACACACACACACAATAAACCCATTTTTTCCTCACCTCTCCAGGTGCCATTGTAATGTTCCCTTCATCATGTGCATTTAGCTCACATTTGCCTCTTCCATTTCATTTAATGGAATCATACAATATTTGTCTTCTCCTGTCTGGCTTCTTTCTTTTAGTGTCATGTCTTCAAGGTTCACCCATGCTGTAGCATGTGTCAGGACTCGGTTCCTTTTCATGGCTGCGTAATATTCCACTGTATGGACATACCCCAATCTATGTGTCCATTCCTCAGCTGATGGACATTGAGGTTGTTTCCACTCTGGGGCTGGTATGGATAATGCTCCTATGAATGTTTATATACGGGTCTTTGTGGGGACACATGTTTTCAGTCCTCTTGGTTATGTGCCATTTTTTAAAGTTTGAAGTTGCTGACTTGGACTCCCGTGACCATTCAGCTCATGTAGATAGTGAGTCCACTGTTGCTAATGTAGATGGTGGGGTCTGTGTTTAGGACTCATTTCTTAAGTGCAGTCACATGTATTGGGTTGGGGTCCAAGGAAGAGGCAGAGAGTACCCCCAAACTGAGTAATCAGAGGAGAATTGACCCAAGTGTGGGCAGGGGTTAGAAACCAACGACGGATAATGCAGTGCTCACTGCTGGGCTGGCAACACCCCTGACCTCAAGGGGGAAGATGAGGGAATAGGGCCTGAAGCCTGGGGAGGGGTCTGGGGCTGAACCAGAGAACCGCCTGGCAGGCACTGAGCCTACTGCCCCATCACTGCCGTCTGCTGGTGAGACCTGGCAGGAAGCCGGAGGCCAAGGGTGCCTGCTGGTGTGGTTCATATAGGTCAATATCCCAGACGTCTTCCAATTTGGAGAAAATAAGGTGATCTCTCTCCAGTTTCTCTTCTAAACCACTTGGTTTGCATGACTCACCTGGCAGTTCTTATTCCACCTGCTTTAGAGTAATGTGTGAAATGTTCTTTTAAGATATATGTTTTTATTGATTTCAGAGAGGAAGGGAGAAGGAGAGAGAGATATAAACATCAATGATGAGAGAGAATCATTGACCGGCTGCCTCCTGCATGTCCCCCTGTCCCCCCACTGGGGATCTAGTCTACCACCCAGGCATGTGCCCTGACCAGGAATTGAACCAGGTTCATAGGCCAACACTCAACCACTGAGCCACAGCGGCCCAGCTGTATGAAATGTTTTTATCTCCTCTGTTAATTCGCAGCTCCTGCTAACTCTCCAACCTCATCTCCTCTCCTCCTCCTCCTCCTCCTTCTAATATTCACCTACCACAAAATCCACCCCTTTAAAGTACACAAGTCAATGTTTTTTGTTATATTCACAGAGTTGTACAACCACCCCCACCCCCATCCCGATAATCAATTTTAAAGCATTTCTGTTTCCCCAACAGAAACCCTGTACCCATTAGCAGTCACTCCCCAATTCTTCCCATTCCCTTCAGCCCTGGGCAACCACTAATCTACTTTCTGTCTCTAAACATTTGCCTCTTCAGGACATTTCATTTAAATGGAATCATACAGCCCTGACTGGTTTGGCTCAGTGGATAGAGCGTCGGCCTGAGGATTAAAGGGTCCCAGGCTCAATTCCAGTCAAGGGCATGTGCCTTGGTTGCGGGCATATCCCCAGTGGGGGGTGTGCAGGAGGCAGCTGATCGATGTTTCTCTCATCGATGTTTCTGGCTCTCTATCCATCTCCCTTCCTCTCTGTAAAAAATCAATAAAATATATTTTCAAAAAATAAAAAAAATAAATGGAATCATACAATATTTGTCTTCTCCGGTCTCGCTTCTTTCTTTTAGCGTCATATCTTCAAGGTTCACCCATGATGTAGCATGTGTCAGGACTCCGTTCCTTTTCATGGCTGCATAATATTCCACTGTATGGACATACCCCAATCTATGTGTCCATTCCTCAGGTGATGGACATTGAGGTTGTTTCTGCTCGGGGGCTGGTATGGATAATGCTCCTGCGAATATTTGTGTACAGGTCTTTGTGGAGGCACAAGTTTTCAGTTCTCTTGCATATGTGCCATTTGTCTGCCCTGCCTGGGGTGCCTCATCTTATCCTGGCTAATTCCCTGGCCCCCTTCAGTGCTCAGCACGGGTCTGCCGCTTTCCCTAAGGAGCTTTCTCTGTCCTCTCTCCCTCCCTCCCTCCCCATGAGCTCCCTCTCCTCGGGGCTCCTATGTTTACCCAGATTGCATGCCCTTCACATGCACACGATGCTCATTATCAGCATCTTCCCATCTCCATCTGTGGGCCTCTGAGCCCCTCAAGGGCAAGAACTATGTCACTGGATCTGTAACACTTAGTATGGTGCTTGGCCCGTTTAGCAATGAAGGAATGGATGGATGGATGAATGAGTGAGTGAATGAGTGAGTCCCACCAGTCTGCCTTGAATATAGATCTATGAAATGAATAGTAGACCCCCTGCCCCATCTGGAGCAGCACAAAGGTAGCCTGACAATGCAGTCTCTCTCTTTTAATCACAGAAGATACCTGTGCAAACATTCGGTCTGGAAACGAGGGGTGTGCGCGCACAGACATGGGAAGGCTGCTATGTGGACAGAGCTTGAGGGGTGGGGAGAGCACCCAGACTAGCTTTTGGGGCAACCTTTCTTCTTAAAACAGAGCCTTGTATCTAGCAGCTCTCACCCCTCCCCCTCCCGACATACAGGCTGGCTGTGCAGAAGCCCAGGGCGCTGACGTCATCCCCAGTGGCTGGCTGCACGTGCCTACTGACCGACATGCAAATCTTTATTTCTGCAGGTTGGTGAAAACCCTGTGTCCTTGGAGAAAGCTGGTTCCTGTTTTCCTGAGGGGGAGCCCAGAGCTTGAAAGGCTGCGCGCGGTTGGCACTTCGAGAAGGAAGTGGGGAATACAGACAGCGCCTGGAGCACGAGAGCATCGCGGAATGGGACTGGGGAAGCCCTTTGGGGATCCAGCTGCAGAAAAGACACCCTAATGCTATTTACATACAGCTCTCTCTATATATATATAAAAAGAAAATATGAATATTGCTACTCAGTGCATGCCGTGTGGAGGACATGGTCCCCTCCCTTCTCTGCACCTTCCGATGTGAACTTGACTCTTTCGTGTCTGGGGCACCGGAAGAGAGATGCCTCCTGTGTCCCGAGAAAAATGGCCAAGACTGGTGGGAATTAGCCTCAGAGCCAACCCACCGCCTGGGGAGGGATGCTGGTGGAGTCAGAGGTGACATTGCAAAAGGCAAACGAGAAAGGCAATATGTTTATAAAAAAGTGCGGAGGACTGGAGGCCAGTGTGTAGGGGTGGTCTGGGATACCTCCACTTCCAAGTCGTGACACGTCCTAGCCCCTCTCTCTGTCCCTAAGATAGAGAGCTAGCCCGCTGTCTCATCAGGACAGCTGGGGGTCCCCCCTCTGCCTCTGGGGTCGCTGGTGCTTCGCCTGAACTTTGCTGGTGCTAAGTGTGTGTTCTCGCGGGTGCTGCCTGGGTTTTCTGTTACCAGACCTGCGAGACCAGGGGACAAGAGAGATTTCTTTTTTGCTGTTTCGGATTCTTTTTTTCTAAAAGGATGAGGGGAGAGTGCAACGTGAGAGTCCCTTTCTCTTTGCAGGGACCAATATCCAGAGGTGTGTGGGGGCAAACCTTGAGGCCAGGGAGGGAGGGCGGGGGGGAGAGAGGGGGTGGCAGCGAGTGGCCTGCTGGTGACCAGGTGGAAAGCTGACCTCATATTTGACTGGTTTGCTGTCTCCTCCCCCCTGGGGAAAAGTATCCTGGCAGTTCAGCCCGCGGCCTCCCCCATTCTCCAAGGGGCTTTCAGGGCTTAGGTTTTATGGATTAAAAAGCCAAGAAATGGCTACGTTCTGGTCAAGGGTAACTTATGAGCAAGGTACGTTGGGGAAGGGCGTGGGTCATTTAAATGAAATGCACCAGCATCTCACTGCAGACTGACAGAGGGTCTAATTTCATGCGCCCCCCCCCCC